GGAGCTGTGGATCCCGATTTGTGGCAGACACCCTGACATACCTCACACAAAAAAGGCTTCTTCCCATCCTCCCAGCTTCGGCCCGGGTGATTTGTATCCTCACACCAGACCATGGGCGGAGCGAACGCGTGGGACACGTCGTGGGACATGCGCTCGTCGCACGCGTCACACATGTTTTCTCTGCGCCCACCTGTTTGGGTCTTGATGGGTTTCACCCGCAGCTCCATGGAGAAGGGAAGACCATGACCTGCAGGCTGTCTGAGTGCTTCCGTGCGTGCTACTGGAGCCACTTGTGCTGTGCTGTCTGAGTGCTGAGGTACGCCGGTGCGTGGCGAGGTACGGCGGTGCCACGGCACGCACCAACTGCTTCGACCGAAACAGATCGCAACACCTGGTGAGTATACCTCTTTCCACCTTGTCATGTATCTATCTTGGGGTCACAGTACTATATGCTGACATATTACGAATTGGGCCCAGTGAAAGCATGTTATCGTTCTTCTATCTGCTGGGCTGGGGATTCCGTCGACGCGCTCCGTTCTCGCATGGATTCGCCGAACCAGACCGTTGTTCGGGTGGACCAGCCGACCATATCAAAGACGAAGAGAGCGATTGCCCCCAACTCAAGCTATATAACTAAACTATAAACTGCTAAACTCCCAAAGTATCAACTCAAAACTCCACTATTGCCCACTTCTTCGTTTCGGCCCCTCTTTCAATCTGGCCCACCAGACACACACCACATACGGCCCATCACCCGCACAGTGGCCCTTCTTTCCGTCCATGCCGCACCTGCAAATACCATCGGCTCCGGATAGTGTACCGATTCCCTGGCCCGTGCCTGGCACAACGCCTGGGCCCGGCGACGACTCACACGTCGGAGGGATCGGACCCCTGGGGCCACGTGTCGGGATCGGACTTGGACCGGTGGACTCTGGGTTTGGTATGGGGATGCTGAGGAGATCGGACGATAAAGAGGTTTTCTTTAGAAAGAACCACAAAGAGGTCACACTTTCGGGGGCTTCCCCCAGATGACAGACCTTGAAAGCTGGCAGGTGAAAGGCGACCAACACCGCGAAGACACGTCTACAGCATGCTCCACGCCGATACAAACACGCCCGTTTCGACCGACTTTTTTTTCGTTTCAGGGCCGAGCTGCAAGGTTCTCCACAAAGCCTTGATGATCAGCCTGTTTCAAGCCAACAACCGGACAGCCCTCCTGGCGAGGCCCCGACGCGTCAGGTCCCGACGTGTCTCGACCCCCAGCGCGATAGACCATGGGAGACCAGCAGGAAACTGTGCCAGAGTTGTTAATGGAAAATCGCCTATAACATGATTGTTGAGTGATTTGGCCTGAGGAAAGCTATAGCTGGCCAGCCCACCTGTATGCCTTTGCAGATCGGTAGTATCACATTGTATCATTGTATCACCCTTATGTCGTATGCACAGCTTTCACCTGGGTGGACGAATCAAACAGTTCCAAGGGTTCAATTTTAGACGTCAATCCCATTCCCGGGCCCAAGTGGATGATGATGCTTGGTAAAGGCCGACACCTAGTCTTTTGTCGCTGTTACAAGTGGGACACACACACACACACTACGATGAAATATTAAATGTGTTAATCAAGACGTCTGTTTCTGAACCCCAAGAGGATCCTACAAACATGGCTCATTGGACCTCATATAGCTAGGGTTTTGACGTGATTTGACCCTCACAACTAGGCTTTTGGACCCTCAACCAACACAACTAGCAGTTGCTTCGGGGGCCGAAGGACGTCCGGCAACGCGGCGTTTCTCATCGTCCATCTCCTCATGAGACATCAAAAGAAGGATCCAGGAGCATCGTGTGCAAATCTTCGGCGAGACAAAGTTCACCACAGCCAGCTTCTTCCTGGGACGAAAGCACGGATGACGTCGAGAATCGGGGGACGAGGAGGACGAAACGAAAGGAAGGAAATGACTGACTAGGTCCTCCACGACCATGGCTAGTCTCCCTGCTCATCTCAGGTCCGGTATGTGGACCCATACGGTCTGAAACTCAACTCTGAAGCACGTTGAGTGCCGCAACTCTGGGGGATAAAATCATCTATAATCATGATCCACCATCGTTCATCGATATCGAAGATTCTCTCTCGGAATGTCTTTAAGACCTCCCCCCGAAAATCCTGAACCGCCCACGAACCGAAGCAACCCGGGAACCCAACTCGGTGGACTAGTGACTGGTGGCCTCTCTGAAACAACGTCCTAGATCTTCAAATGAGCAGAAATAAGTGGGTTGAGCACTTATTTCTGCTCCTTTGAAGACCTAGGGTGATTGTCTGCAAACATTCGCGGGCGGAAACCAGAAGAAAAATCACTCCCCAGACTTCGATCCTATGGTCGTTTGGTCGTTTGGTCTAACAAATCTATGTCTAACAGCCTTTGAAATCTAGAATCTAGACTTCAAACATTGCGTTGTGTTTCTTTTCTTCGACCGTCCAAGTGCCTTTTTTTGATCTGGCTATATATGTGGGGGTGCACCCCTACGAGCAGCCCTGATGATTGCCTCCTGCTTCCAGTTGAAACCCTTTGATTCGTCCTTTTGACCTTGATCTGATTCCCTTAGAGGTAGTGTTCGTGTCTTTTCGTGATCTTCTTTGATTTGGTTTTTGGTTCTATCCAGTTGAAATCCGTTGGTCTATTGAATTCCTTTGATGCATCTTTCTGATCCAGTTTGAGCCTATATATGTTGATCCCTTTGACTTCCTGATTATATTTTGTTGATGTCCTGTTTGTTTTTTTTGCTGGTTCCAGTTGCCTCTCCCTTTGAATTATGTCTTTCTTTAAAGGGACGCTGAAGAGATACCTTAAGGGAAACTTGCCCATGAAGAGTTCTTGGGGAGCCATCTAGATCATTCAGGAGTGTTGTCCAAAACAATACTCACCATTGCAACATTTTTGCGATCCAACGTGCGAGAAACCTGCACGTCGAAACCGAACCACCTCGCCCTCGGTCGACCTGCCGACCTGCCGTCAAAGCCTCCAGGGGAGGTGCACAAAGTCATACGCCTGTGGAAGCTCTGGCACGGCCAGAGTACAGCAGTCGTCTAAAATCACCAAGAGCTCCTGGAGTCGCACGGCACGTCCGCACGGCTATACCTCCGTTCGGTGCACCGAACGCGGGGGGGGTTCGGTGTATTCTGAGTTCGTGAGGGCCACCAGGGGGGGACAGACTCCCTAAATCATACCTTCCGAGGTGGGACGTACAAGAGATGACAAGAAGCCGCAAAGAGTTCAGCCTGGCTGAATAAAAAATAGACATTAACAAATGAAGATGAACACAAAGTTAAAATGTTTTCTGTTATTGTTTTCTTTCATCAAAAAACACTCGATAAATGACAGTGCACTTCGAGAATGACAGGTCGAATGGCAAGACAGTCGCTATGACCCACTGGTGATGAGATCGAAATAAAATTAAAAAAAAACAAAAAACGCGAAGGTTTAAGTTGGTGTTGGTCCACCTAGTAACAGCATTGAAAAGTAATTATAGTGCCTGCACCAAGATCAACTCCATCCGGTCCAGGACTGGAACGGAAGATTCGTTGAACAGCAGAACCACCGATCCATGCGAGGCAAAACTCAGCCGAAAAGCTTCCAATAAGGACTAATACATACTAATATATATATATATATATAACTTATTGGGGCCCCTCAAAAACAGGATCAGTTGGGATAGGGAAGAGTTTCTGGTAATTAGGGATGGCTGTGAGTTTCTCGACCACACTAGTCTCTGTCTCTTCCCGTCTCCCGTCCTGGTAAGTCATCTTCTTGGACATTTTGACTGTCAGGGTGGTCGCGTGTGGATCGGGCTGGAACATCTCCTCTCGGAAATAGGTCTGCGGCCCGCTACAGATGTGACATACAAATGGCTGCGAGGCGGTGATGATCGGATTTCTCACATGATCAAACGACATGGCAAATCGTTTTGGGTCACCAACGGCAAGTCACATGTTTTTGGAGCGATTAACTTGCCCCATCGAAGGGGTTAGCAATGGACTTCCTAAGCATTTCAAAAAACTATCAAGCCGTGCAACCCAGGTTCTTTGAGGCGACCAGTCCGGTGCCTGAACGGGTTCCATCGCTGGGTTCCTTGACGAGGAACTGGAAATCGCATCTTGGCCATCAAACCAGCTTCCGAACCCCAGTGCTTCGGCAGCATGCCGAATTCATATGAATTGATGAGGAAGTCCAGATCCGAAGGTAGGGACGACGTGGCACCCCAACCACCGAACCATGTGGAACAGGAGCCCTGTTAGGGGATTGGTCTGACCCACGAAAGGTGTGCTTTACGAACCTGTCAGATCCGCAGCTGCGATCTCTGGTGCGAACGTGACTGGGGTCCTTCGTCCTTGGGAAGGTTTGCTATGGTTTGCTCTTCAGAGTCCTTGGTCCGAAGGTTGATCGGTCTGTCGGCTTCACGTGACAGTTAGGTTCGGGCAGACTGGCAAGCTAACTTCTGGACCTTCGTCTCCAGCCCAAACCGTACAGGAACGAAGGTCCACGTGACACATGTTTTAGTCGACTGATCGACCCCGTAGATCGGTCGGATCGACTGACCGGCCCTGCTAAAGCACTCAGATGAAAACCTTGGCCTTAATATGCAGAATAGTTGCTTACATTAGACCCACAAATGGGGCAAATGTATGTAACTAGCTGGAGTGGCAAAGTACTTCAGAATATTAGTACAGTACTTGTTTTCATAGGGTCATGCCCTATTTTCTAGGGTACTTGACAGTCCAGGTACATACATGTACTCCATTTATGACACTATAATGTAGGTAACTATTCCACACACATGGATTTGCTTAAGAAACCTGGACAACATAAAAACAAATATTTCCAGAAGGGGATTAGATTAACTTTATCCAATTTAAGGAAAATCATCACCTGATCAGCAAAACCATGGATATTTAAAACACAACAACTCCACGACCGACTTCAAAGTTTGAGCACGGAGGACGTCGCCTTGTGCAGGTGTGGCGACTGCGCATGTAGATCCGCCTAAGAAAACTCGATAGCATCTGCCAAGAGGTATTTGGAATCCAGGGACTCGAGAAGGGGGGGTAGCTGGCTGACCATCATGACATATCATGACCATCCGCAACAGTTCAGTTGGTGTAACCGGACACTTCTCCATTTGTGAAAGCTTCACCGCTGGGAAAGCCTGGAAAAGGACTGTTCCACCATCCATTCGGACTGAAGAAGGTCTATCCACCGCTGGTGGCGATCCTCTCCACGACAGGGACACAGCCCGCTGGTCTTGGAGATCCCGGCTTTAGCCGCTACAGCCCGCCTCCGGTTCGACCATGCTGATATACGTATTCACCGAAACACGAGAATCCGGAGGGCTCTGTGCGACACGCAGTTGGGAACATCAAGGGCTCTCATTCCTTTTGCTGCGAGTCATGCCCAGGGCTCTCCCAGTTCAGCTGCAAAAAACAAAACTAAAAAACTGTTTGCGGTGCGTGGTCTGGAATGACCTTTAACTATATACCTACAAAACCCCACAAATACTTTTGTTCATGATTCATGGAACAACAACCTTGCTTTGGTATACTTTAGCTTGTAACCCTAATTATGGCTCTTATTGTCAGACACATTTGATGTAATATATGAAACATAGGCAACTGTCCCTCCAAAACATGCACGTGAAAGAGTCCAGGAGCGATGAGGAGTCGCGACTGGTCGAAGGAAGTGTCCGGCACGTCCAGTCGGTGGAACTGGAACGTGGTTTCTCCCGTCCGACCAGTCAGAAACTGCCGTCCCAAGGACACCGTGTGAAGCAGTCAAGACACCCCCTGCTACATCATCATGGACCTTTGACGGGGTCATGTTTTTGGCCGTTAAACAAGAAACAACACAGATGTAAGTACGTTCGCCGTCACAAAAAAGTACAGTATATTCCATTTCAAAGGTGCCGTTTCACTGTAAGTTTTGGCATAGCTTGCTCCGCTGTCTAAGTGGCCATTTTGTTGAGGCGTCCCAAAAGTCGCCAGAAGCCGATTCAGCTTTTGGGCAATAGGAAGCAACGCAATGCGAGAAACACATACTAAGATTCAACAGAAAAAAAACAGTTGGCTTTTCATTGACATGCCATGGCAGGTGCTTTTTTTTCCGAACAGTCATTGAAACTTAAATCGATGCAAGATTGAACAACAACAACGCTTGGAAGACTCTGGTAATACATATCCCAGACACTCGGACTGGCATATATAACCGATCAGTTGAGGTGCTTCCAGAGGTCGGTTGTGGCAGTCCGAACTGGCAGTCCGGGTCGTGTCTGCACAAAAGCACCCATCGATCACTCACTATGCCAGCTTGTAAAGGGACCAGGTTTTACATACTGGCTCAGGCTGGACGATTGGGTCAGGATAGCAACAAAAAGGGGTGTTTCGAACAAATAGCCCCTGGACTTGGGTCGGGATAGCATGGTAAGGGGTGTGTTTAGAAAAAATAGCCCCTGAAGAGCTTAAGGATGGTTAAGGGGTGTCCATTCGCGCCATCACCCCCGGTACGTCGTGGGCCTCCGCCGCGTAACGCTCCGCTCCGCGCCTCACGGCCCCAGCGCACGGCATCCACGGCGTTCTCGGCGCCTCGCCTCGCCAGTTGGGCGACCGGGTTGGACTCAGGGTGGTGGGTGGTCCCAAATGGTCAGACTCAGGTTTGACAGGTATATCAATGACTATACTATGTTTATATGTACTATCTATATAAAATAACATATGATGACATATGATGACATGTTTTGCATGTTCACCATCCTCCCCAAGCTAGCGAACCTATACCGAACAGGTTTTTCTTGACATACCCAGGAGTACCCGGGGGCGGTGTTGAGTCCCGGAATGCCAACGGACCCAAAGCAAAGCACCCCGAAGCAACGGACTGCTGGTATGTCATAGATGCTTTGGGAAGATACAAGTACAGTATTTGGGTGGGTATTTTAGTAGGGAGACCCTGTGACCCAATGGGTTGTTGATTTTGGTCTATTTGGGGTCTATGATGGTTAGGTCGCAGGCCTTTCTCCAAAATAGTTATATAATTCTTATTTACAGACTGTTACTAGGTAATGGGCTACACCCTATACTACCATCCCTCCAACATGGAAGTGGATGGCATGGCCCTGTGTTTGTCTAAGACTGTTTTCCGAATACCAAAGACATGGTAAACTACACTTCCATGATTGTTTCGGGAAGTGTAAAACTCTAAAAGTGATCCAAATCGATGATAATGGTTAGTATGGGGCTGATTCCTCAAAAAGGGAGACAGTTTGAACCCGACTACGGCGGAATGGAAAAGACCCAGACCCAAAGAGCATGTCCCAAACACTCGATGAGACTGGAATACATCCATAATATATTATATATATATACATACTTGGTGCAACGAGGGAAACCCGGGTGCTGTTTGAGTCTAATAACTGACCAGGGTCAACGGACAAAGTCTGTGGATGGTCCGACGTTGTGTTTTTCTCTTTAGTGTGAATGCCCATCCCAGTGTTTGCCCGAACTAAGATGCTATGACCTGCTGATCTGACCGGGTCTTACATATTTTTGAGCCGACAGGCTCAACCACTGCTGATCATCAGGGGATTGATCCTCCACCACTGAAGATACAGTAAGGGGAAACCACAGTAAATACAGAGAGTTGTCAGGGCTGCCCATGACTCTCAGTGGCGTTCCAGACTTCTCATCGAGCAATCTTATGAAACACACACATGTTATACATATCGATTATTTATATACTATCATGATTTATCGTTGTGAGCAAGAGTATCATACAAACACCTGCACCATCATGTATGTCATATCATACAAGCTCCACACGACGTACACCACTGGTGAAAGCTAGTCAAACACCGGACCTGGCGAATCGAACCTCTTCTTCTTCGGCGTCGGCTCTTCGCCGCGTCCAGGAAACCCCAGCCACGCCAGTAGGCCAGGATCCACCGGCAGCTGGTAGAAGCCCTGGCGGCAAACTGGTATCTCACTTGGATTTTGCCAAGATCGGACGGAAGGAGCGAATTGTAAAACGTGTCCTACTCAGACTGATGAGGGTCAGGTCCAATCTTGTTCACCTGAAGGGCCCAACGCTGAGTACCAGCTGCTTCCGTTCAGGGTCACCAATGGGCTCCAACTACGTCCTGAGAAGGTGGATAGGGTGGATATTTGCGGTCTAACCACCTTCTCAGGATATGGTTTGAGCCCTAGGGAATTATTTTAGGTCTCCATTGGACAACCATTGGAAATGCGCTAGGTATTATAAGTCCTGGCTTGCAAGTACAGTAGTCCTATTCTATCCTTCTGGCGTGCAACTAGTCTGTGTCACCACCAGAAACCTTGCACTCCCACAATGACAAACTAGTGAACACGATATGGCGTGATGAAGTTCCTTGGGATCTTTCCTCAAAATCGTGAAAGGATCTTTTGCTCTCAAAGTGCATAGGACAAGTTGAAGCATTTCAAAACAACGAGCCGATGCTCGACACACCCATAGCCTCATAGCCTGACTAGGCACCCCCTTCAAATCATGACAACGGCGGCGGCACACTGAACTTGGCCAGGAATAAATACCCATACACTCCCCAGCGGACTGGAATATTTACCTACAATTGATCCCAAGGTATGTAAATATAATCAGTATACAGTATGATTAAATATGCCAGTCCTGTCAGTCGTGTCTGGGATAAGGTTTTGCATTCACCGATTGTTGACTCACATTGCTCCAGTCCCTGGGAGTTGACCAAAAAAGCAACCTGGAGCTAGGAATGAGAAAAATGCACCACGTGGACCATGCGCCTGGTATCTAGTGGCTCCTGAAGCCTTCATTCATGGAGTGTCAACATTCCCGGGCCGCTGCAGACTCGTTTTGGGCAGGTTGCGGACAAAGAATTGTACCTGTTCTGTCATCCATGCTGACTCTCTACGTTAATATTTCACCGTAAACAACTCCACCGTGACTAGCTGTTTTACTTCTCTAAATTCACAAGAAAATGACAGGTCACCTGCAACTTTGTGACTTTTTCAGGATATCTTTTGAGGATGGGTTACAGTGGTGTCACTTCCATCTAAAGGACATCTTGAAATCTGCGCCAATTCTCACCTCTGAAACCACTAACCATTGTACTTCAAACATGCGCGCACGCATAGTTACCATACCATACTATTACCACCTCTTTGCGGAAACTTTTGGGATCGTTTGTAGCTCCAGTTCCTCGGCTCGACCTCCAAGAACTGCAAGTGCTCCGCAGTCAAAGGATGTGCCTAGCTCGGTGCGACGCAGACGAGACAGGCGAGAAACCGGTGCGACGCAGACGCACCTGGTCCAGGCGGGATGGCGGAATTCTGTATACGGATCTAGTCCTTACACCTGGTAACAACTGGTCCTGAAACCTTCGAGTGAACCATGTTGCTGTTTCTTTCTGTGTCTTTTTCCAGTTCAGTAAAACGAGGTCTTCGTCCCCCCTACAATCCCTATAGGACAAAGACCTTTAAGTCCGGATTCGCTCTTCGCCACCGGTCCTGTTGGCAATCGGTGGCAAGATCTTGCTCACGTTGCTCACGTCTTTTTTGATTCTTACTTTCCACATTGACAGAAAATTTAATTTACATTCTGCAAGGAATCAGCGTTCTTTGCAACTGCATTGTTGGAAAGCCATAGGAGTGTGAGAACAGCCATCGAGTGGCCAAGTCAGCACATGACATCTGTGTTCAAGGAGAGCAAACTTTCAAGAGAAAATGATGCTGAAGTCCTTAGACAAGTCAAAAAAACAGAGTTTACTGCTTAGTGACTCTATTCTAATCAAACAACCACTGCCGAGTTGATTCATGGTGGGTCTTCTTCATCCAGGCTGGCTTCGAGATCCAATCATATCAGCAAAGGTCTTCCATCTGGAAGTACTCAAGTCCAACTTCCAACTAGTTCGAGTGAATTACGTCCCCTGTGACAGAAAAAAACAAAAACAGCTATAACTATGCAAACTATGCGTCGCGTATCTCCCGCTGGTGGCGAGAAAATGGGAGAGGTCCAGTGTTCGCTCCACTCCGTGGAATGGGATGTTAGCAGGGCTAGCAGCTAGGGAGGATCTCATGGACGGCCGCATGTGAAGTGTTCACTCTGCTCCAGTCTTCGCCCTACATCAGTATGACCGACTATTATATCAATCACAAGTTATACGTAGGTTATTTCACTCATTCCAAACGACTTCTCAGTGGACTTCTCAGTGTAATCCGTGTGGACTTCTCTCCGGTCCTGCCGCCCTTGCCCCTATGTTCCAAGGGCCAAGAGGCGTGGAAGTTGTGAATCTTGTACCAACTGTAGTCGCAAAGCCCATCAGTACTGACCTGAAGATCTCAGACTTAACGTCTCCAAGATGGCCATGTCCCCAAGAGCAAGTAAGTCTTAGAATGTCTTAGAATGTTAGGAAAAACGTCACTTGGTACTCCCTACAGCTCCAACTAGATCCTCGGAATTCTGCTAGACTTCAGTGTTCTCACCCATACCCACACTCAATGTGGCATGACCGACTCATCTTTCAGGGTCGTTTTGATGGAGCATCCTTGGGCCAGTCCTTGCCTTTTGAGCGTCGCCGGGCCGCATATTCATGGGAGCATTTGGGGCAGCCTTGAGATTGGCCACTTGGAGCTGTCCCCCACACCCCCACACCTACTCCGGTTCCGGACGATGCTTACTCGGAAGGGATGTAGAAGGGTGCAGCTTCGATGCAATAGCAACATGTCAGCATAGCACATCTTCTTCTCCATCTTCTGGTCCAACTGATGCACTGGTCCATTCCTGGATCCAAACGCATCAAAGCTCCCTACATTCCGCCCTGTACCCAAACGCCCAGACTCGCTTTCAGACTCGCCCTTTCTTCCGTGCCCTCTTCCATCCCAGCGGCGAGAATGTTGTGATCCACGTCGTAGAAGCCATGCTTCACGCCGACCTTCCGAAACCTGGTTCACGCTGAAGCGGGCGGCGATCGATTTGCGTGTTCGCTCCGCTCGGTTTGACTCCGAACACGCCTTGCGCGGTGTTCCCGGATTCGATCATGCGCGTGAATTCGTGATGGAGCACGTGTAAATCTCCAAGTTCTGGTGGAACATACGAGACATGGTCATGGTGGAACATGGTCATGCTGGGACGGCTGGTGCGGCTCATGGTCTGGTGTCCGATCGGTTGACCCAGTTGACCCGGTCGACCCGATCGTCCTGGCGAACGTTCGTTCACGCGCAGCTTCAGAGGTCGATGACGCCGAACGAACAAGAGCTTGACAAACAAGCTAGGTAGGCAGGTAGGCTGCTTGGTGGACCTCCATGAGTGTCCCAAAATGTAACCTGGAACACAGCAGTCCCATATCGGGGTGCTATTCATGGAGGTTGTCGGGGTGCCCCACAATCGACATCCGCGGCCCCTGGATGGGACAAACAACACCGACCTTTGGAAGCTCCAGATATCCCAACTGTCTCGACTGTCAGGACATTCAAGGGCCCCTAAGAAAGAGAGCTCACTCTGAATAAACCTGGCAGGTGGTGACTTCAACTGGATCTCGACTTGGAAGGACAAACGAAAACAATCCCTAGGGCTCCAACCATATCCTCAGAAGGTGGTTAGACCGCAAATATCCACCCTAACCACTTTCTCAGGAAGCAGTTGGAGCCCTGGGGAATGACGAATTGATTGCATCGCTTCGGTGACTTTGAAGGCAATATCCCGAGCCTTACGGAAAGCCGGTGTTTGTTCTCGAAAAATACTGTATCTCAAATGGGGAGAAGGAACCCCGACGTGGTGAAAGAACACAGACCCAAAACCCTTCAAGGACAGCGAGAACTAGAACTCTGGAAGATCATAGCGCAGGAGCTCTGATCAGAGCGCAGGAGCTCTGAGAACAAAATGATTGCAACCTGTGAGTGTTCAAATCATTGAGGTCGCCGCTGTCTGTTGAACACGTGGTAGCAGCTGGGCCAGACGTCATCCTGACCAGAACAATGACAAAATCTCCATGGCAGGACCGGAGGAATCATATGACCAAAACAATCTGATGCATGGGAGGAAAGTTAAATTTTAACAAATACCTCGTGTTCGTCGGTTGCAATATTACTTAAAGGTAAAAGTCATGCAATAGGTTTCAAAATGATAGTAATTAATAGTAATAGTAATACTATATAATAGTAATAGTGACGCGAGTGTACAAAGAACATTGATTAATTGCATGTCATCTGCTAGATATTGCTATAGATTATAGTTACAGCACGGATATGTTCATATTCAAAACTACTCCAGGATGGTTGTAGATTCACAGCAAAAATGAAATTAATTGCATGGAACAATGAAAACAAACATCTTCAAACATGTTCAAACGTTCTAACCTGTTTTGAATGGGTTCAATTTTAAAGCCAGCTGTAGGTCCGACTATGCATCCTCCTCCTCCTCCTCAAGCCTCTCACACAGAGATGCCCTCGAGATGCTACAGAACGACCTAAGAGCGCTAAAAACCGGACGACCCGGCCTCGTGAGAAGGGCCGTTGAAGTGCAACAAGCCTGGGACACCAAGATCATTCAAGCGAACGAACGGGACCCTCCATGCAGCCCAGCTCCACTGGCCAAACGCACAAAAAAGGATGGTCCAGGGTGTGGGAGTTCTGCTATGGAGTTTTGCTAAGTTGTTTTGGTCCAACAGCCCGTACTACCAGTGACTTGCAAGTTGTTTGGAACTAGGGTCATGCACAACAGCATTTGAAGTGGCTGCACAGTTGAAGCCGTTCCAGGGCATCGTGGAATGACAGTAATCAAAACGGTGTGAATTCCCGGAGTGCCTAGGTCGTGTTAAGATATGTTAACCACAAGAAAACATGGGAGAGGCAAAGCCTATCCGGACTAGATCTTGTTGTCTATGTGTCTATGTGCCAACTCTTTGTTGTACTATGTTGTACTCTTATCTGTGCTATTGTGAAGATGGCAATCGAAGGTCTACAGTTGACGCTGGGTCTTGAGATGCATACTCAGATTGGCAGTCTGGCTGAGGGTCATGGCACCCCGATCCCCAATTTCTCGGGTAGATTGACCTCCTGTTAGGTCGTCCATTCTGTTCATGTTCTCTGGTCAACCCAGGTAGCCTTCTGAAAGACCCCGCATCCATCTATTTTGGGCAACTCCTGTTGTTCAGCGCGCAGCTCGCCAGCCTGGAGTCGTGTTGGTCAACATATTCCGCGGCGGCCTCGCATGCCAGGGTGGCAACGTATGGCAACTTAATGTTGTCTGTAAGGAAGGGAAGCTACTAGGGGCTCCTGGCATCGCTACTAGGAGCAAGGACGCTACTAGGGGCTCCTGGCCGTACTACTAGGAGCAATGTTCGCTACTAGTAAACGTAATGCTTTTCAAGAAGGGAGCACGCAAATGCAGTAAGTGCTGTGTCATCGGGTTTCTCACCAAGTAGGGCACAGGTCGGTCGAATGGTCTTCTCACGGTCGGTGCGCCAGCACAATCCGCCAGGATCACTCTATAGGACTGGCATTTCTACATCGATTGGGGTGGCTGACCTGGGGTCAATCTTACAGTACAAATCTCTGGTGGTTATTTGGTTCAACCCGCTTGAAAGCCATATTATGAGTCAGTCACGTCACCCCGGGTCCAATCATCCGAAACCAGTATACGGGTTGAACATAAACACCTGGACCCTCCAAAGTACCGAAAATGGGACATGTGACATGACCCCTTAAAAACAGGTACGACCGTACCCATTTTCCGAGGTACTTTGAGACTCCAGGTAAACATATCCGAAACCATCACCTCTCGATATTCCAGTGCCATGGAGCGTCTGGGAATGAGTTCTGAGCCGCTGAGGAGCCCTGCACGCGCCCATGAAACCTGCAGCCGGAGGGATATCATGCCACACACACACAGGTCATGGCGCGGGAAGACCTCTATGGTGCGAACATGTGCTACAGACCCTACCAGTACGTGCATGGCTGCAGTCCGGACGTGTTGCAGGAAGTGGAGCAGCCGCAGCAACACCGGCCGAACCAAAGCAAGTGCTCCTGCCGCGCAGGCTGCAAAAAGGCTAAGCAAAGGCTCTTTTGGTCGAGAACGGAAGTTTTGATTGGATGGTGCCTATGTATGCAGGCTGACCAACGAACAAGTAGGACAAGGACCAACGTTGCACCCCATTCTTCGTCCAGCACGCAAGCCAGACCTGAAGGCACAGTCACCCCAACATCGACGTTGCAAGCCCACAGCGATGTCTTCCCGCGCGTTTTTCAGTGGAAATTACATGATGTGAACCACGCCCTTGGGACACATAGCAGGACCATCCCACGCCGGGCGGCACCACCAAGAAATGGAAAATGCACCATCAAAACACACGCCGACGCGTCGGTGATTTGGAGTGTGGTTCGATCCTTCCACTTTTGGCAGCTGGGTCATTTGGAGACATGTGGAGACCTGATGTGGAGACAAGGTGGCATGATCATCGAAAGAATCGTCTTGGTATGCAAGTATTTCAAGGAACCTTCTGAACACATCTTATGAAAACAAATGATATTAAGATCATGCTTGAAAACAGCATTTGTTGGCTTTGTGTCATGAAGTCAAACAGCTTGCAACATCTGTAAGTCCCTCGCTGAGACAGGTAAAGGAGTGGACTTTGCGGTTGACCGCCAAAGCCAATTCCGAAACCAAGAAACCAATCACGCACGCAAGGCTCTCGTTCCAGCTCGCCCGCTTTGTACTCCAACATGTTCAAAAAGACCTGCAGGGTGACTCACTCGGTCAGGGCAGATGTGTTGACCCATGTTGACCCTTTTGCTTTGCGTGGGTTTTTCTCCACACCCAGCGGTTGAAGAAACCCTAGTTCGACTATCTG